AAACAAAAAATGGAATTAGTACAAATAATAGTATTGGCCTATTTACAGGGTTGGTATGAGAAGTCAGTGAGAAAGTGCATGTAAAGTGCTTACAAGAATACCAGATACCTAGCATACACTGTGTGTTAGCTCATCCTTTTTTTAGTATTGTTATTTTTATTTTAGAGTTCACAAAATGCTTTTAACACTATCATTGTATTTCATACATACAAACAATCCTGTGGTGAGATTATCATTTTTAAAATTTAAAAAAGGACAATTTATTCATTTAACAGGGATAGAGTGATACCCTCACGTTTTACTCCCTGTACTAGACCTTGTTAACTGTGAAAAAGTATCGCTGAAGGCCTCCATGAAGACAGGAAATAGGCCCAACCCCAATGCGGGACAGTAACTTTTAGTAATACGGGGTAGTTACCTGGACCGGTTTTAGTCTAATCATTTATGCTTGCATTCAGAAGAAACATGTTTCCCTAGAAGATCCTCTCTGTTCTTTACACTTTAACACGGAAAAAAAGAGGCTCTATATTATTATGAGACAGTGAGAGTACGAAATTATTCTTTCTTTCTAAGGCACAAGATAACTTGGCCAATGATGGCCCTCTTATCTGTTTTTCTGTTCTCTCCACTACCCCTCCCTGTCCTTTCATCTGTGCCGTCAGCAGTGTGTTCTCATTGTTACTTCAATATGGCGAATAGGAGGGCTCTCAAAGGGAACTGGAGGCAGGGTTGATTGACAGGCAGAGTGCAGGGGAAAATCCTCACATCTCTTCTCCTCACATCAAAGGAAAATGCATAAACGAGAGCTGCCTGAAATTTTCTGGGGGAACATATCACCGAAATATTTTTATTTATTTATTTATTTATTTACTTATTTATGTTTTTTGTTCTTGTGATAATACATTTCTTTTTACCTCTTAAGATGATTTAGAAATGTCAAATACTGCCAACAGGATCATATTGATCAAGTCTAATAATAAAAAATATATATATTTTTTCTTTGCACTTAAAAAATATTATTTTGAAGTCAGTGTAGAGAAACAGCGCCTCATATCTATTATTTTCCCCCCACATCTAAGACTTTTGAATTAGCTCTCATCCATGTACAGTTGTCTTATCTTGATTCTAGCATTTTTGAAAGGTTTAACTTGCATTGTCCTCAGAAAGTGTTACCCGCACTAGCTTACAAAAGAATCAAATACTAGAGTAGAATTTAGACCCATTTAAATAAATGCCACTGGCTGGAAACCTCTGAGATCTTACTGCAACTTTTTATCCTTCCACACACAAAGGCTACTTCCATCATCCAATTTTACTTAAAGAAGTGTAAGTTTCCCACCATTACAATGATCACAAGTGCATGAAACATAGGTCTAAAAAGAACTCTTAAAAAAAGAGTGAAAACTGTCAGGATAACTTAACTCTACAGTTTCCACTTTTGCAGTTAGGACATGACAGCTGTGGTACCTGAGGCCCCAGAGTGCACACTGTTGCCTTCGTTGCTTATCACCTGTTTGAATATTTACTCTGATTCCACCCCCCCCCCCACACACCCCAGTCCAAATTACATGCTCTACGCTTACTTCTTCATCTAACATGGGATAATGTATACATATCTCATAAGGCTATTAGGATTAAGCAAAACAATACATTTAGAGGATTTCCCAGCACATACTGGGGCTTATATATCTGCCTTTATAATGTGGAGGTACCAAGGCACTGGATTATCTGGTATGTATGGAAGAGAGTCTGTTTAATAGGACAGAAAGAACCTCACAAGCCAAGATCATACTAACTTCAGAAATGAGTATTTTTGTTTTCAGATGGGAATAGTATCAGTATATTCAGTTGGAGTTAGAGATATCCTCACATTTCTATAAAGTGACTTCTAGCTTTGCTGTGTGTTGTATAATTGGAGAGCCCAGTCTCTTGTGCTCTATCCTAGATGTTGTTAGTTGCAAGATTAGGTGCCTGGTGAACTCCACCTCTTGGTCATGGTCCATTGTGGAAGGAGATAAGCCACACATTTGAAGTCCAGTGGTCGCTCTTCTCAGGGGAGTGGCCTGGCTCTGGAGTCTGGGGAAGGTCACGCCAGGGCAGTGTCAGGTCTGCTCCATGTCCTTGATGCTGGATAGGACAAAAAAGCACCTGCTTGTGGTGGCAACCCTTGAAGAGAAGGAAGTAAAATATAAGAAAGGAGAATTTTTTCAAACTTTAGAATTAGTTTCAAGAGATCTGGATCTCTTTTTACAAAATGAATGTTGAATTGAGTGTGTGATTGAAGAGAGAAAAAAAGAAGAAACAAATCCTTTTCCCTGATGGTTAAGTGTTTGGTGTTTCTATTGTTCCTCAAACATTAATCATTCATGAAAAGGTCTTAGTAGTTAAGATGTTAAAGCCCAAAGCAGTGATAGCTCTGTTCCCTTATCATGTCTGGGGAGCTGTTCTTATGTAACTCCGAAGCTTGCAAAAATGTGGAACTAAAAGCTAAGTATGATAATGCTGATTTTTAAGTGTTATTATGATTGGCAGATATATTTGTAAATTAAATATTCATTTTAAGTTAATCATGAATAATTAAGTTTCCCCAAATCCTCCTTTGGGATTTTAAGGCACACACAGGGAAAGTTAAGTAGTTCAGTTAAGTAATTTGGTATGATTGAATTTCTACTTTCTGAATGCCTTTATATGCATTAAGTCCTCCTATTTGGTTTAAACAATGATTAGAACAGTGATTCTCAAATCACTTGATAAAAGAGATTTCTGGGCTCCATCCCAGCCTTTTTGATTCGGAAGTAGGTCTTGGTGGAGACCACATTTGAAAACCACTGTTTTATTTGTAGATCAGAGACTTAATGAGGTTAATGTTTATCTATGAATATTCTATGGATTTCCTATGAAACACAGCTACTAACTAAAATGTAAGTTCACCAATTAAGCAGCTGCAACAAAATTAGATTAAATATCAGAATAAAATTTTACAAATTCAGAGTATATATCTATGAATTATTTCAATGTCTTGAGTGTTAGACTCATATTTTCTTTTTACAAGTTATTTTCTTATTAGTAACTAGAGGTCTGATGCACGAAATTCATGCAGTAGTAGGCCTGCCTTCCTCTGGCTGCTGGCACTGGCTTCCCTCTGGCCATTGCAGACACTCGGGACCCAGGCTTCTCTTGCAGCCCCAGCTTTGTACGGAAGGTCATACAGAAGGATGTATGGTCTAATTAGCATATTATGCTTTTATTATTATAGGTGGATTATTTATTTTTTAAACATTTAAAAGATATATATATTTTATTGATTTTGTATAGAGAGGAAGAGAGAGTTAGAAACATCGATGAGAGAGAGACATCGATCAGCTGGCTCTTGCACACCCCCTACTGGGGATGTGCCCGCAACCAAGGTACATGCCCTTGACTGGAATCGAACCAGGGACTTTCAGTCCGCAAGCCGACGTTCTATCCACTGAGCCAAACTGGTTTCGGCTATAGATGGATTCTTAAAACTACTTAGAGGACTTTTATATTAAATGAAACAACAACAACAACAAAAGGAAGTGGGGTCAGTCATACTTCATAAGATTTTGACAGTTTTTAACAGAGTAGCCCATTCTTTGACCAGATGAGTTTAGTGTTGTCCAATTCTATAAATAATTTAAAAAGAATGAATTGACTTTCCAAAATAATAAAATAATGCTGTATCTTTTTTTTTCAATAGAAGGTCAATGTTACCACTCTAATCATCTCCTTCAGCAAATACAAACTTTTGATCTTGAGTCATTATATTGACTGTAAAAGAAAGTTCTATTTTACAAATCTGATAAAATACAAAACTTAATATGCTTATTTTTATATGTGCAAATAATTGGTTTGCACACAAAGTTGGTGCTTAATAATTGATGAATAAATGAAATCAGACTGTCACAAGTTAGAGCCACCAATATTTTTAAAACATCTACAAATGTACAGAAAAATCTGTATATGTAAATAGCTTTTTGCCTTGCCTCTCACCCAGGAATATTCTTCCCTATGTATGCCAACAAATAAGAGTAAAAAGTACACTAGTTTGTGAAAGAACCACATAAAATGTCACCGATATTTAGTTATAGAGCCAAGGATAAAATAATCACATTTATTTCCTCTCCTCACTGGACTGAGTACTGGAGCTTGACAGTCCATCCACTGCACCTTTAGAGTGAACTTTGCACTTTTATTTTATTTATTTTTATTTTTTTATTTTATTGATTTTTTTACAGAGAGGAAGGGAGAGGGAGAGAAAGTCAGAAACGTCAATGAGAGAGAAACATCAACCAGCTGCCTCCTGCACACCCCCCACCAGGGATGTGCCCGCAACCAATGTACATGCCCTTGACCGGAATCGAACCTGGGACCTTTCAGTCCGCAGACCAACGCTCTGTCACTGAGCCAAACCGGTTTCGGCTGAGCTTTGCACTTTTGAAACATCAATATTTGAGGATGTTTTTACTCTGGTAAAATGCTATACATTCAGTAAAGAAGTATCTTCATTGTCCTCAACTTGGGGTGCAGAACATACACATGTGGGAGAGACCAAAACCCTGTGTACAGTAAGGAGCCCAGGCCAGTGAGATCTGCAACCTGAGCAGAGCTTCCCAGGAGAGCCCAGTTCAGATGAGCTGACCCCCACCTGATGCCCACATCTCTGAGAAATAACTACTTCCTGCTTTGTGTCACTGAGATTGTGTGACTGTTTATTACATACTAATCGCTGACTGATACATACATTGAGTCTCGGTATTATAAAAAAGGCTTTCTTTTCCATAAAATTAGAAATAAACTCCAAAAATAACTTGCAGTTAGTTATATTACTTTTTATATACATAAAAAATATCAGTGACATTTGGGAAAGGTAATTAACTTATGAAGCAAATTTGGGTTTATGGTGTCCTAAATTGTGGAATAGGAAATATATACTATATGCTCACTAAACTAGTTGGGTATGATTTTAAGAATTGAAATAAAGTCAATAAAACGATGTAACTGAAAAATTTAACCAATACTTTTAATAAGTATAAATATACTTTTAGTAAGTATAAAGTATATTTTTGGATAGATGGCATAATTTGTGAAAATTTCCTTAATGTCTTATTACACGACTTAAACTACATTTTAACAATAACAGGAATATTACATACAATCAACAGGATCAAAACTAGCATTTTTTGAAAAAAACAAATAGAATATTTAAGCCACTAATGAGTACTTTCAAAAGGATTTGACAGATCTGTTGATTATAGGAAATTAAAGGCAGTTACTCTTACAAATGTTCAACTTCCCTCCTGCAGGAGTCCCTTCTAAGAGAGACAAAGATATAAGTGAAACTGTGTAAGAAAAATGTTTTAAAAATCTAATTTATAACCACTTATTTGAAATGCTGGGTTGATAAAGCAATAAAACTTTTAAGATCTCTTCCATTGCTTTTTAATATCTATTACATGGAAATATTTTAAAAGTAAATACGTTTTATGACATGCGCAATTAATAACCCATTTTAGAGACTAAGAGACCAATATTGAATAACATTATAAAGTTACATGGGAATAGCTGATATTGACTGATTATAGGAAAGAAATATGATTCATAATAAATTATCACATATTAAGACTCTTAAATTTAATCATTATATTTAAAGATCATTTAAAATGCTCATTTAAAAATATTCTTGAAAATCTTTTAAGTATAAGACCTTCATATATACAGCTTTTGTATGTTTCTGATATTTGATAAATTACTAAGGAAGTGAGTTATTTTCAACAGTTTTTATTTCTATGGAGTTCAAGAGAATGCCCAGTCTCCATAAATAAAAAGTAAATAAAGGAAATGTATCAGAGAGTTGCAAAACAGCTTCATCATGCTTCTGAAGAAACTTCTTGATTTCTTGATCATCTTGCCCCAAACTCAAAGTATTGCCTTCTTCCTTTTCCTTTTGAAGAAGCTGCTCCAGAACCCAAAAGAGGGAGAAAATATTTTCATAGCCTGAGACATCATAACTGGCTTGTACCTACAAATAAACAACAAACTGCTTTTAAAAAATATTGGTTGTAGCTCAAATCAGAGAAAAGCAAATAAAGAGATTAAATTTTCAGATGAAAAATAAATACAGTTGACCCTTAAATAACATAGGAGATAGAGGCACTGACCCACCTTCCACCTATACAGTTGAAAATCCCCATGTAACTTGTGAAAACCCCCACGTTTAGGTTGTCCCTTAGGATCCAAGGGATTGGTTCCAGGTCACTGAGTGGGTACAAAATTCACATATACTCAAGTCCTATCTATACTAATAAAAGAGAAAATGCTAATTAACTGTACTGTAGCCACACCCACAGTCAATCAGAGTGGGTATTCAAATTAACCTAACAAAATGGCAGTTAATTTGCATATGCTGAGGGAGGGAGGAGTGAAGACTGAAGACAACATATAAGAGGGAGAAAAAGTGGAAAGCAAGGCAGCTGCTAGAGGGAAAGTGTGGGCGGGCTAAGGTTGGGCAAGGTTTGGCAAGGTTTGGCAGCACACAAGACCACTTGCAGGAATGTTCTTACAAAGGGCCCTAGATTAATGCATAGAGTTGACTCTGCACATAGGCGGACTCCCAACCATAGACAAAACACAGTGCAGGTATTTAATGAAAAAAATTGGCATTTAAGTGAATTCACAGAGTTCACACCCTTGTTGTTCAAGGGTCAACTGTATTTGACTTACTACCTCTGTCTGCATGTTCCTTTTTGAGAACGAAGGAGAACATTTGACAATCATGTATTACTTTTTTCTCTTGCTGGTTTACAAAGCTGTAAATCCTTTCTCTGAACTATTGCTGCAATTTATTACTCAGATGATTCTGAGAATACTTGGCAAAGAGGCTTACACATAGCAAGTTCTGTGTGTTTATTTTAACATTTCATCAAAGATTTCCAATAAATAATATTCTTGCTAAGGATAATATAAGGATTTTTAGGGGAAGGATTTTAGGAACATGTTTCACTGTACAACTCAGTTTTGAGCAGTTAGAGCTATGATCTGTAAGTGACCAGACATGACTGCATCCTGAATCTACAGAAATTAGGGAGTAATAGGATTAGATTGTGTGGAATCAGATATGTGGTCATTAGGGGAAATGTAGCTGTGTTTTGTAGAAGTTATTAGGCTTAGGTGGCTAAAAATGAAATGGGCAATGGAAAGTCTAACACAATGGAATACAGGAACCAGTGAAAAGATATAAAATGGCTTTATCATTTACTTATTAAGAGATGTGTTAGAAATATTCATCAAATATATTTGCTATAATAATACGTAAATGAAGAAACAGTCTTTTAGAGTCCATTGGAATGTATTCTTCTAATAAACAGAGTCAAATATATATAAACTAATCAAATTTAAATTTAATAAAAACAATAAAAAAACCAACCAAGAAACTGTAGACCAGTCTCATTTATGACTGTATACATTTCCAAGTTTTATGAATATACACACATAATTCCAAACAATGACATTTAATTCAGTAATGTAATCAAGCAGGGTTTCTTTTTAGGTGCTTCAATAATATTCTTATTGATAATATTCTTATCAATATAATCCATCATAATAAATTTAAGGGGAAAAACTATATGATCATGTCAATGGGTACAGAAAAAAAATTTTGTTTTCAATTACAATTTACATTAAATATTGTATTTTCAGGTGTATAGCATAGTGGTTAGATAATCATATACTTTGCAAAGTGTTTCCCTGATATTTCCAATACCCACCTGGCACCATACATAGTTATTACATTATTATTGACTGTACTTTATGTTGTACTTTACATCCCTATGACTATTTAGTAACTACCAATCTGTACTTCTCAATCCCTAATACATAATATTGTATTAGTTTCAGTTATCTATAAAAAGCCTAAGTGACCTTTACAACTGAAGGATTGGAATGACCAGTTGCTATGACATGCACTGACTACCAGGGGCAGATGCTCAATGAGGAGCTGCCCTGGTCTTCTGCTGCTCTGGCACTGCTACATCCCCCCGCAGGGTCCCAGATTTCAAGAGGGTGCAGGCCAGGCTGTGGGACCCCACCTGTGCACATATCTGTGCACCAAGCCTCTAGTACAATATAATGATTTTATATGTGTATATATATTGCAAAATGATCTCATAACATATCCAGTTAACATCCATCACCGTATATAGTTACAAAATATATTTTTCTTGTAATGAGAACTTTTTCACTTAGTTCCCCAAACCACTCCCCTTATGGCAACCAACAGTTTGTTCTCTGTATCTATGTATGAGTTTGTTTCTGTTTTGTTTGTTCATTTATATTGTTCTTTAGATCCCACATAAGTGAAACCATATGGTAATTGTCTTTCTCTGACTGATTTATTTCACATAATATTCTCTAGGTCCATCCATGTTGTTGCAAATGCTAAAATGTCATTATTTTCTTATGACTGAGTAATATTCCATTTCATAGATATATCATCACATTTTTGTCCAGTTGATGGGTCCTGGGGTTGCTTCTATTGCTTGATAATTGTAAATATTGCTGCAATAGCATAAGGGTAAATATATTCTTTTGATTTAGTGTTTTGGGTTTCTTTAGACATATTCCCAGAAGGGGAATTGCTGGGTCATAAGACAGTTCCATTTTTAATTTCTTGAGACAACTCTTTATCCCCAACAGTGCACAAGAGTTCCCTTTTCTCCACCTCCTAGCCAACACCTGTTGTATTTTGATTTATTGATGACAGCCATTCTGACAGGTGTGAGGTGATATCTCATTGTGGGGTTGATTGGCACTTTTCTGATGATTAGTAATGTTGAGCATCTTTTCATGTACAGGTTGGCAGTATGTATGTCTTCTTGGTAAAATGTCTATTCAGATCCTCTGTCCATTTAAAAGTCAATTATATTCTTACTGTTGTTTTACACAACTTCTTTATATATTTTGGACATTAACACCTTAACAGGTTCATGATTTGCAAGTGATATAGTCCCATTTGTTCATTTTATATTTTGATGTAAATCCAAAAGAATAATTGTCAAGACAAATGTCAAGGAGCTTACTACCTATTTTTTTTTTTATAAGAGTCTTATGGTTTTGGGTCTGATTTTTGTATATGGTATAAGATAGTGGTCCAATTACATTCTTTTGCATGTTACTGTCCAGTTTTCCCAATACCATTGATTGTCCTTTCCCCAATGCATATTATTGGTTCTTTGTCATCCTATGTAATAAAATCCTATATGCAAATTGACCAAATAGTGAAATGACTGGTCACTGTGACATACATTGACCACCAGGGAGCAGATGCTCAATGCAGGAGCTGTCCCCTGGTGGTCAGTGCACTCCCACGGGAAGCTGGGCTCATGGCTGGCGAGCGCAGTAGCAATGGCAGGAGCCTCTTCTGCCTCTGAGGCAGTGCTGTGGAGCAGGCCTAAGCCAGCAGGCGGACATCCCCTGAGAAGTCCTGGACTACGAGGGGGCGCAGGGAGGGCTGAGGGACACACCCTCCCAACCCTAGTATGTAAATGCCGTGCAGCAGGCCTCTAGTAAATATATAAGTGAGTTTATGTCTGGACTCTATTTGGTTGCATTGATCTACTGTTTTTTGACAATGAACATTATTTTGATTACTATAGCTTTGTATTGTAATATAGTTTGTAATATAGCTTTGTTGCTTCTCAAGATTGCTTTGCTATTCAGGGTCTTTTATGATTACATGCAAATTTTAAGTTTATTCTATTTTATACTTCCTTTTAAAATGCTTATAATATTAATTACTTCCCCCCTCACATTCCCACAAATTGGACTATACATTATTATATAAACACATCTAATATCTATATGCTGATTTCCTTGATATAGAATGGACCCTATCATCAATAACTAATTACTAGGACTTTGGTCAGCATTTAGTGATCACTAAAGATGCCAGGTATCTAACTGAGCCTTTCAGGACCCCACCATTTTTACAGATTTGAATTTTTTAACCTACATTCTGGTTGGTTATAAGTTTGTTTTATCAACTAAAACGCTAACCATGTTGAGAAAAGTTAATATGTTCCTTTCTCTACAGTTTTTATAATTTATAGAACAATGTCTTTCTTGTCCATAATAAATCTCAATATATATTTGTTGTTTCAAATTGAACAGGAATTGTAGTGATTTAAATGGTACCTATATAGACACATGCAGCAGTGCTCCCTTACCTATGGATTTGTTTTCAACAATTTAATTACCCAGGGTAAACTGCCTTCCAAATTATTAAATGAAAAATCCAAAAATGAACTTGCAAGTTTTAAATTGCAGACCTCAGTAGTGTGATGAAATCCCATGCTGTCTTGCTCCATCCCTTCTAGCACATGAATCACCCCTTTGTCCAGCATTTCCATGCTGTGTAGACTACCAGCCCATTAGTGGCCCCCTCAGTTATCAGATTGATTAGTACGGTATTGCAGAGCTTGTGTTCATGTAACCCTTATTTTACTTAATGGTCCCAAAGTGCAAGAGTAATGATGCTGGCAATTTGGGTATGCCAAGGAGAAGCTATAAAGTACTTCTTTGAAGTGAAAAGGTGAAAGTTCTCAATTTGGAAAGAAAAAAAAATCAAATGCTGAAGTTTCTAAGATGTATAGTAAGAACAAATAACTCTATCCATAAAATTGCCCAATTTATAAGAAAAGCAAAATATATATAGAGTTCAATGCTATCTGCAGTTTCAGACATCCACCGGGGGTCTTGAAATGTTATCTCCCACAGATAAGGGGAAGGGGTTACTGTATTGATTATTATCAGTGGTATTTTTCAATATAAAATTATTTTTCAACACTTTATTCCAAACTAAAATATTTTTGCAGTATGTGTTTAACCCGATAATATGAGCAATGTTTAAATATTTTTAAAATCTGCTTAGAAATGATCATTAATAGTCTAAATTCCTATATGAGATAAGAGGTAATTCTTCTTGGAACTATTATTATAAACTTATATACTTATTTAGACATTAAC